TATATATATATACACACACACGTTTTTAATATTATTTTTTTAATATGGAGTTCTGCTCTGCTTTTGCCCTTGCTCTTGCTGCTTTTGCTCTTGCTCTTGCTCTTATTGTACTCTAAGGGTATTTGGATCCCTGAACCCTCCCCTCTAATTCAGAATAAGGCTTTAAAGGGCAGGGATGATTTCGGGAGGATTCGCCCCAATTTGTTTAGTTATTACCGGGGTGTTTAATAAAAGGGGGAAGAGGTTAAAACTATCTTTGAGCGCAAAATGTGATGTCTCCTCTATCCCTCTTGAAGCAACGAGCGAGGGCCTAGAGCCTCCCAACACATGTCTTAGATTACTTGAGCGACAAGCACTCGACAATTTCAAACAGGCGATACAAACCTTTGTGTCTGCATCAAACCTACCAGAATCCATGATCAGAATCACAGTGTTTCCTCCTGGTGTGGTTCTTGGGACTCCAGGGTCTGGAAAGCCAGCAGCTAGATGCTCTTTCGCCTTTTGCGGTCTATGCTGCCATAGTAGGCTTCCCTTTCTGTGACAGCTTGAGCTAATTTCCCAGGAAGACTCCCAATTGGGGGGAGTTCAGGGGCGAAGGCTATATCCCAGTCTGAAACCAGCCTGACGACACAAACATGCATGCAGGGGGCTGCGTGATCAAAGGGGATGTCGCAAGCGCTGCGATGGGGCTGTCTGCATCCTGACGCAAACAGCAGAAAGCTGTGTATCCAGGTCTTTGCCATACCTGTAGCAGTGCCTGGGAACTTGGGCGTTCATTCCAATTCGCACCCTGCCATCGTCAGAGCACCCCTTTCATGCAGGGCAGGCATAGCGCTAGTATCAAGGCATGTACGGTCAAGGGATCCCCTATCACGAACCAATTGCTCAGCTCAGATGTCTTTGAATCTTGGGACGTTGGCGTAATGGTTGAGGGCGGATACCCACGAAACATCCGAGCTCAATCTCACAAACCCTAATCCCCATCCATGAGGCCGACATTGCCATGACGAAGCACTCAGGAAGCCGCAGCAAGCAGTTGCCAAACCGGAGACCGCAGAGTCCCTCTTCAATCATGCAGTCTTTGCACCATCGATGCTAGAGCTGGAGAGCTTGCAAACTTGTCCACATTGTTTCAAGTTGCACAAATCTCGCCCAAAGCTGCACCTTCGTCGTTTGCATGGCACTGTTGATTTGAAGTCTCGAACTGGACAGTGGCAGTAGTTACAGTAGCTACTTCCTGGTCTATTACTATTATAACTAAGAACTAGCGGCTAACTAGCGGGGCTAAGCCAACACATCAAAATAACACAACTAACCAATCTGACCACCGGGGCCCCAAACCCCTAAGGCGGCCTCGTGTACGGCGAAGATGCTCCGCAGCGCAGACGAACCGGCCTCGGTGACCAGGCGGCAGTCCGAGTCCACGCGAGACCTCGGTGGACGAGAAATTGGGATGCAAGGGAGTAGGGATGGTTTGAGGGTTTAGGGACTCGGAATGGGGGCTGGGATGAATGATATGGTGAACGGTGATCCGAGATAATGAGGCCGATGCCTGTCTCGACAGCAATGGGGACCAACACAACCGTGTCGAAACTGTTACAAAAACCAAAAATCATGCCTACTTTCACACCTACACTAGCCGGCCAGCAGTGTCTGGATGCTAGCAGCTTTACACGAATTCAAAAACAGCAGCAGCACCACCACCACGACGACTACAACTTCTACTCCCTACTAGTACAAGTATGAGTAGAAAATGAAGTAGTAGTAGTCGTCGTCGTCGTAGTAGTAGCCGTAGTCGTCGTAGTAGTCGTAGTAGTCGTAGTCGTAGTCGTAGTCGTAGTAGTAGTAGTAGTAGTAGTAGTAGTAGAAGCAGAAGAAGAAGTAGCAGTAGCAGTAGCAGTAGCAGTAGCAGTAGCAGTAGCAGTAGCAGTAGCAGTAGTAGTAGTAGTAGTAGTAGTCGTCGTCGTCGTCGTAGTAGTAGGAGTAATGGTAGCAGCAGTAGCAGTAGCAGCGAGCATTAGCACTTGTACTAGTACTAGCAGCAGCAGCAGCAGCAGCAGCAGCATCAGCAGCAGCAGCAGTAGCGGGGGCGATGCGGGTCGAGGTCGTGACTTGTTGGTCGACGTGGTAGTCGTCGCGGCAGCAGTAGTCGTAGCATCTAGCAGAAGAAGAGAGGCTGAAGTCTTCAAACTTCAAACACAGAAAAATGGCAAATTGCTGGTGCAGATAACAAGCACGACAAAGTTCTAAACCGCAACAACGTAACAACGGTAGCTTGGCTAAAGGCACTAGGCACACTATCATCAGCGAAACATCTACTAATCTAGTATTGATGCATTTGGTTTAGGCAGGCAACAACGAGTCGTATCTTACATGTCCCGCTTAAAGCTTTGAAACGAGCCAGAAGGGCAGCAGCCTTGGAAATGGCGGTGCTGGTGGTAATCGCAGTAGCAGCAGCAGTTAATAGACATAGTCGTCGTCGTCATCGTGGCCGTCGTGGTGGTAATACGCGGAACAGCAGGAGCAGGAGATGCGGCGGCAGCAAATGGTGCGTCACACAGTGGGGCCCCGACGGCCCATTGATGGACCCGACCAGCTCTTCTAGGAACTGTCGAGAGGCCTGAGAGCTCCAAGCATGGGCGGGCGGATGCTTGCAGGGGCTCGGTGGGACATCCAAACGGAGGAGCCGGACTTTCAGGTGTTGGTTGATCTTGGCCTTATTGGTGTGGGGTTTACAGCTTAAGTCAAGGATACCGGTTTTGATGGTGAAGTTTGGCTGAGACGGGGTTGCAAGGTCTCGTCGTCGTTGAACCACCCCACCGCTTTCGATCGATTTCTCCGAAGAAGCCCTTATGGTGACTAAATAGGGCTTGGCCTGCTAAGTTTTCCAGTCAGAAGCCTTTCGAGACCGTCGAAACCGAAGCCATTAAACCCGTAGCTTCAAAAGCCTGCGCGAGGGCCTCGATCTGCTGCGGAGGAACGACGGCTCGCAGGATGCAAAAGCCCTCAAGTGGGCGTCAAAGTTCTGGTTTGTAGGTTTGGGTGGTTTGCGAACAGGGTGGTCCTAGGGAGATCGAGGCTCAAGACACCCTTGAGTTGGAGCCAACTGGATGTGTGGAGAGAAGTCTTGGCACTCTAACATTAAGCTGGCGCGTCCTGCAAAGGCTTCAATACATAGCTGGAACGCGACAACATGGACAAAAGCACTCACGAGCCCTATATAATTGAAAGGCTGTTCCAATATCTGGCCCCTTCACGTCCCTTCAGTATGTCAGACGACGTTTGTTGAAAGGCGGTCGCCTAAACTAGGGCCCGCCTCCAAGCAGCCCCTTTAGCGCAACGAAGCGTACAAGGCCCCGCCTGCTCTTCGTAGGCATTCAGCCTAGTCGGGATGGTCGAATGGGAGGGATTGCTGAAGGGTTTGGGGGCTTCAAGTCCTTTATGGGCTTCCTGGATTGCTTGACTGAGCCCTGGCAGATTTTTCCCGCGCAGTTACGGGTACTGGATGGCACTGGTGCGCCGTGTTCAGCCAAAGTCAAGCAAAAGAAGCGGTGCAAGGAAATGCAACACTTAGCTATGCTTAATAGTTTCATCTGCATTCTGAGAACACATCTCAGCAATTTGGAAGCAGCTAGCGGGTATGGGCCATGCTTAGTGTACCTCAGTGACTAGCGCGATCCCAGCCGGAAGGTCGGCTTGCTACGACAAAGGACAAGGTATGTAGAGACTCAGCCCTGAGCCGACCAAGGTGTCTGGCTCCTCCACTTCAAGCCGAGAATGTCTTCGGCCCCCGGTAGTATGGCGCCCTAAAGTGACGAAAGGATGCCGACGTGCAAACGTATCCCGGGCTTTAGCAATTTAGGCTCTTTACACGGGAGATATGCTCGTACATTGAAATCCCGGTGATCTGGACCTCTGGGCCCACGGTCTCCGAGCTGAAGCACGGCTCGAAAAGTCATGCACCCCGTAGCTCTCAACTGTGCTGAAATGCCCCTGACTACGCCATTCTACCTGCAAGAATAGAAAGGCAAGAGACAGTGCTTGGCTCAAAGGTTTGCTCGAATTCCCGGGCCACACCTCAACAGCTTTTCTCATGCTTCGCGACGAGAGGCTTAGGACTTAGGATAGGTTTGGGGCAGGTGAATGTGCATGAGAGGCGCATGTAGGGTTGAGGTCGGGTTGAGAGTTTCCGGGACATGCTCGTCCGTCTCTGCGTCTCTCCATGTGTCTATGTCTACTTGTCCGTGTCTTCTTCCTTCGGGCGTAGGGGATTTGTCCAATGCCCCGGGCGCAAAGGCCCCCCACCCCCACTTTTTGGTGAGTTAGAGGGAAGCGAGCAATTGTTAGGAAAAAATCTTGCGATCAAGCAGTACATGACGTCCCCTCGAATTGGAACAGCAGAACCCTCACAAGAGGACAAGAGTCTCTCTCTGTCTCTCTGTGTCCTTCTCTGTCGGTCAGACTGCCTCATTGTCTGCCTCACTGTCTGTGTCTGTGTCTGTGTCTGTGTCTGTGTCTGTGTCTGTGTCTGTGTCTGTGTCTGACTGACTGACTGACTGACTGACTGTCTGTCTGTCTGTCTGTCGGTCTCTCCCTGTCTGTCTGTCTGTCTGTCTGTCTGTCTGTCTGTCTGTGTATCTGGCGTATCTGTGTGGTGTGTCCGAGTGCTGAGTGGTGTGTCTGTGTTGTCTGTGTCTGTGTGCCAGTCTGTGTGTCGTTTCGCGACAGCACTCAAATCTCGGCCGAAGACCTGGCAAGCCCTGCAACCAGCACGAACACCACTAGTCGACAACAAAAGCTGCAGCAGCACCACAACCACAAGCATCCCATTGCAGTTCCAGCTCCTGTTGCTTTCACTTTTTTTGAACCCGGAGCTCTATCTGGAAACTGCAACCTTGAGTCTTCCCCAAAGCCGGGCGGCCACGGGATGCACCCGCAGGACCGCACCACTCTGCACACCGCGGGTGGCATAAGGGCTCGCTTGGCGGATGCCTGGCGCCGGGCCTCGCAGTGGCAGGGCGTTCGGTTGGGGCACTTTCATCTTTATTGATGTACTTGCATATTATACCCCTACTGCTGACTGTAGGCTGCAAGCTTCGACGTTAAGGTATCTACGGTATTTCTATCACAGCCTGGCTTGAAATACAGCATTGCCACGGATACAAGCGCCCAACCCCCAAACCTTAAACCAATCTTTTCCGAAGCGAGAAAAGCGCAAGGCAAAAGGCCACCAGCTCTTCAGGGGCGCTCCGCCTCAAACTCAAAACTCAAAACCGCAGACATACAATTGTGTTTGGTTTGAATGATAGGGTTCGGGGATGCGGACACAGGTTTCAATCCTTCAGTGTAGTAAGGGCTTATCTTTGGAGGTAGTGTGCGACGAGAGGAGAGTCTTAATTTGGCTCGGCACACCGACAAAGCGTTCGCACAATACCATGAAGTCGAAGCCCCAGACTCCACACCCTTGAACCGACCGAACCTCTTAGAACCTCAGAAACCCTGAATGCAAAACATGTTTTTCTCTAGCTGAACCTCTACACGATCAAACTATAGTCTCGTCCGACTTTGAAAGCACCTGTACCCTTCTGTATCATTGCTGAGCTTATCAACCTCTCCTAAGATTTAGCTGCTTAGCTCCACATGCGCAAAGATTTAGCTGCTTAGCTCCACATCGGCTGCCTGCTTTCTCTGCTTTTTCCATGCCCAATGGGCCCACCACACACCTCAGTCAACAGGAACTACCAAAGTAGGTCTTCAAGCGTTGGGCACCTTCGCTCGGGTATAGTTGTTTGCCCTAGACAGTCGAGGCACCTCTTCGTCGCTGTAAGGGTAATTGCAATAATACTGAAGCCACAGCGGCCCCAAAAACACAGAAAGCACCTTAGCGAACACGACAGTCGTACTGCAAGTCGCCATGCGTGAGCACACCCCATCAACATGTCTAAAGCTCCTGAAGACGACAGCAATTGCGAGGATGCTGGCATTATGTGTGATAGTCTACACTGGAAAAGCCACTTCTTTGCCAGCTTCACTAAAATCATTAAAATGGCCCAGTTTGTCCGGCTACCTGCAGTGAGAGAAGTGCTCGCCCCTAAATGCCACAAAAAGCTTCTCAACTCGAAACTCGCCTGCCCGACAGAATGCCTAGGAGGTGTTCCATTCTATGTCCCAGCATGGGCCCTGAATCTAAGTTCCCAGACTTCAACCCCGAACGAGAAAACATCCTCTGCAAAATCCCAAATATCAAGACCTCAATCAACAAAAGACGCCGCCTCTGTTGCCAAGTGACAGAGTTTCCGGCGGAGCTGGCGAGGTCGCCGGGAAAAAATCTTCCTTGCTCGATGCAGTCGGATCAAGGGCTCTAAAGATTTAGGGCTTCAACCTCGTCCCTACACTACCTAAGACTATGGAGTTAGCAGCATTTGCGTCACCGGCCCTGCCCACCAGGTCGCCATGGCGACCGTGACCGATTCTCGGCCACGCCTACGCCTAAATTCCAGCTTGGACGTTGGCGTTCTTTAACTTGACTAAGAACTTTGCTGTGCACTGACCGGCTCGTTTTGACCTTTAAACCGCTCGAAGCTCGAGGCTCCTTGGTGCAGTCCCGAAATTTGTGCTCCCGAAATCGTGCTGTGAAGGTGCTGCCGCCCACAGTTCCGTGCACATTTCGGAAAAAGAGCATCAAAGAGCCATTGGCAATTACTTCGTCTGAGCACCGTCAGAATTCTATTTCTTGCTTGTGCCGTGAGATTCTCCCACAGCTTCGCGTACGAAGGCTATGATTTACTTGCTGCCGGTCCCGCGGGCACGTGGCCTGCACGAAAAACCGAACGCACTCGGTCTCGGGGCGAACTAGATAAGCAATCTTTAGATACGAAGCTTTAACAAGGAGCCCTAGCAATAGAGACACCAGGGCACAAGACCACGACAGTCATTCCACGACCCGGTTGCCAATGCATTTGGATCACTCTAGCTTGAGCTGTTGAGGACATCAAGCTGCAGGTTTCGGCCTACCTGAGGCAAAGCACTCCACAGCAATCAACAAACACAAGCAAAGCCCTGCATCCTGGAAAATCTCCGAAAACCACGAACAATGAAATCTCTAGGAGCTGGTAGCCAGCCGATCTTCTTCTCCACTTTGGTATCGTTTTCAGCGGCCAGGCATGCCTGAAGGCTGAAGCAAGGTTATTTGAGGCATTACGGGCTGCTGTCTGGATTTTTACATAACACAGGTAACACAGGTAAACATTTGAGTCTGAGGATTCTGATGGGGGTGTGTTTCCGCGGGGGTCGGCACTCATGTCTTGTCGCGCTCTAAATGATTGGTTGATGTGCAGATGTGCAAGCCCATTGAACCCCCAAATTCAACAAAGACCCCAAGCGACCACATCGACATAAGAATCCGATACGACACCTTAGTATGAGGACTCCTCTGATTACGGAGGATTCCAAAAAACCTTCATCCTGAGATCCTCAAGTTGATGTAGGCCGCCATGAGAGCGGGCGTCGCGCTGGCAGCAGTGGCCGATGCAGCCACGAACCGCACGGCGAGGCGCTGGCGCAGTGCCTCCACGAGCATTAGGCTTAGGCCTTTGGGCTTTGGGGGATTAGGAGTTCCCTCTCCCAATCCCTCAAAGCCTAAAAGCAATATACTCAAGGGTTTGCAACTTACTGTAATTAGAAGCTTAGTAGAGGCTTAATTAAAACAAGCTACTTTACTGCAACCAGAAGAAAATGGGAGGCTTAGAATTACTATTTTACTGCATTTAGAAGCCTGGCAAAGGCGTAGACTCACTACTTTACTGACTTTATTGCTTTGTAGCTTAGTAGAGGCTTACAACGTTCTACTCTTATTGCAACTTACTAGAATTGCCTGACTGCAAGTACAGCAGGGCCCTGGCTCGGGATTGAGGTCTTTGGCTTTGGGGCTTGAGCTGCAGGTTTCGAGTCTGGCAGGAAAACTCAGATCGAAGCATCGATTCCTTATCAATCAATCCTCTTCTTCAAGGAAGCCCAAAATCATTCCATCCATTTCCATCCTGAGCTACAGCGCAAAGCCCTAGTCCCC